TTTTAACTTTAAGTTTCAATAAGAAGGATTTAGAAAGAGTTAGACCTTTAGATTCAATGGTTTTTCCCAAAACCTTAAAATGCTTGAGTTTGTTAGTCGGGATTTCGACCCCACTAACGTTTTGGAAAAAATCCTCCCATTTCAAATTGTAAACTGCTAAAAAAAACATATAAGGGATTTAGAAAAAAAAATTACATTTTCTTATAGGCCAAAACCCATATTTGCACCCTCTATTTATTTTTTTTCCACGGTCAACACCTTTCAGAATTTTTTCTCCCTATTCACATTCTTCACTTTTCAAAACCCGTGAAAAACTCAATATTTTAACATGCTGTCACAGCACCGTTAAAAAATATATTACGTGGCACCCAAAAATTGACGTGACACTATGTAACGTTAGTAATCCAACGTGGATCTTTTTTTTTTATGACGTGGTTTATTTTTTACGGATGTGAACGCCACGTATACAGTGAAAATAATAAAAAATTATAATATTACCAAACAGTTACATAAATGGCATTTTTTCATTTTTTTTTTCTTTCCCCCCTCATCCACGTATACAGTGAAAATAATAAAAAATTATAATATTACCAAACAGTTACATAAATGGCATTTTTTCATTTTTTTCTTTCCCCCCTCATCCTCGACATTATCTTCACCATCCTCCATCTTCACCATCCTCTTCTCAATGGGTTCCTCGCGGGGAACCCAGTTCGGGTTCCTACGCGGAACCCAGTTCCGGTTCCTACGCGGAACCCAGTTCCGGTTCCTACGCGAAACTTGGTTTTGGGCTCATGCGCGAGGAACCTAGATTTGGGTTCTTCGCGGGGAACCCAGTTCTAGGTTCCTCGCGCAGGAGCCCAGAACTAGGTTCCGCGCAGGAACCCAAACTGGGTTCCAACCTTTTTTTTTTAATTTTTTATTTTGAATGTATTTATCTTAGCTTCCGATTTTATGCAAAGCAATTTGGAATAATTTTTTTGTTGGAAAGGTGAGTTTTTTTGCTTGGAGATTGTTTCTAAATAGGTTGCCAATTTGAGTTTTTTTCGCTTTTTGTGGGAAAGGAGTAGAAGATACTTATCATGTTTTTGTGCTGTATTCATTTACTTATAATTGTATAGATGAAAATCTTAGCTTGGTAGGCATTCATGTGAAATTAGGTTCCACGAAGAACTCAGAACTTGGGTTTCGCGAGGAACCTAGGGGGATGAGGACGAGGATGGTGAAGATGATGCCGGGAAAGAAGAAAATGAAGAAATTAAAATTAATGATGATTTAATTATAACACATTATAAAAAAAAAGTCCAACATTGGATTAATAAATGTGACATAAAGTTCTAGTTCCTGGTTCCATGAGGAACCCAGGAGGATGAAGAGGAAGATGGTAAAGATGATGCGGGAAAGAAGAAAATGAAAAAATTAAAATTAATTATGGTTTAATTATGCTATATCATAAAAAAAAAAGTCCACACTGGATTATGTTACTGTTTGATGCCATGTATTACAATTTTTAATGGTTATTAACGGTGCCGTGACGGCCCGTTAAAATATTGGGTTTTTTACGGGTTTTGAAAAGTGAAAGGTGTGAATAGGGAGGAAAAATTCTGGAAGGTGTTGACCGCGAAAAAAAAATAAATGAAGGGTGCAAATGGGGTTTTAGCCTTTCTTATATAACACATTATGAGATAGAGTAAACAAGTGGTTCTAAGCCAATTCAATTTCAGAGCATGTTTGGTTCAACTTCCAAGTGCTTCAACTTTTTGATACTATTCATGTTTCATAAATTTAAATTTTTTTCTTAAAAACTTACAATTTAAAGTTTTTTTTAACCTTAAAAAGATCTTAAACAGTAAATGTTTAAAAGCTTCAAATTCAAACTTTTCATAAACTCTATTTTTACTCACTTTTTTTTTTTATCTCTAAAAACAACTTTAAAATTTTTCCTCCAATAAAAATTTAAACTTATCACTCATGAACAAAGCAAAAAATTGTAAAGCTAACCCAAACATGCCCTAATTTCTCAGCCAAATTAAGATGTTTCCCCTTCCTTTAGCCCCTTGTTTCCATATTCCGTCCCAGGACGTACGGTCTAACAGTTAAAAGAATGAATGTCTCTAGTTCAGAGGTGGACCAGGACTCAGAGGACTTTCTCAGTTTCCCCTGTTTTATAATCCAAAATCATATGGGTTTCCAGTTTTTCACTGTACTCAAGTGATAAACAGAAGAAAATAGGTTATAAGAACAATGAGAGATAATGGACAGAAAGTTCTGCAGTTTCCATCTGTTATTCTAGAATTAGAATATCATGTGTCCTGCTTATCCCCAATATTGATCCCTCTTCCTCCATTCAGTGGGTGGATCAAGCTTTGACTATTCCTGTGCAGATTACTTCCTTTTCCTCAAATATTCCCCAAAAGAATTTCTTCTATTGTTGTTGAATGAATGTAATTTTCTTTCAGGTTCCATTCCCTCAGAAAAGGAAAATGCAGATTCATAGTTCCTTATTGATTCAATTCCCCCTCAAGAATCTAAGAAACACAGTCCTCCAAGTTGCAAGGAGAGGACAACACTCAACAGAGAATAAAATTGTTTTGGGCATTTCAAATTTATTGGTAGGGAGGGTAAATGGTATCAGTAGATAATGACTTTATGCTTGAAATGACATCGATGATAAGGATTCCATACTTGGTGCTAGGGTGTATATCACAGATTTTCATATATGCTACAACATTTCACATTCATGATAAGACACAGGTATCTTTTTGCAAAAGCTTCCAGTCTTTCCAAGCGTAGTTTTCAGCAAATGATCACCAAAGATCCACAGGCACATAGGCAAGCTAAACTCTGCCCTTTTGGACATTGGAAAGCATGATTGCTGGACACAAAAGCTACAAACCCAAGAAAAGGAACACATTCCTTAATCTGCATGGTTGATCTAGCAAGGTTTCTTAAAAACCTCAGGACTCAACCTCTCAAAATTAATTGAAATCCAGCTGGATTTTGCCGCATTTGGCATTTCCAACAAGGCCCTTTGATATAGTCATGAGATGAAAGGATGTGTAAATAGAATAAATGCTCAAGATCTAACTTTAAATTTCTTATCATGTTGGTAAAGGCAGAATCTGATGCAGCAATTAAGATTATGCATGAGCTAATGAAAATCCTCCAAAAGCAGTTCGGAGTCTTGGATGCTTAAGTTGAACACAAACCCTAAAAGTTTTCCTTGTTTCAGCAAGTAGTGCATTAATGTATTAGGAACTCACTTCACGTGTTCGTATCTGGATTAATTAGGACCACAAAAAGAGATGCCTTTTCATGCTGATTGGTCTGGATCAAGTGAAAATCTGAAAATGAAATTTACTGGATTCCACAGCTCCAACTTGCAGGGCAGGAGTTACCAAATACGAATCCCAGGAAAAATGGTCTTATAAAGATCTCGAAATAGAATGGAAATGGGCATCCACAGATGAAACCTTCAATATTGCGGTGGACATGGGATGATAAGGATTCTAATCATCAACAAGATAGTTACTTGAAATGGATCTTCTTTGTAAATATTCCTCAAAGAAAAGTATGAAAGAAGATCATGGCATGGTCAACCACACGTTCAAAGCAAAGTATAAAAACACTTCTCTTCTAAAAGACATTTTATCAAACAGGTCCAAAACATGATTCACATGCAAAAGAAATAGCCTTTGAAAACTGGAATCTTGATATTGAAGAAAAACCCAATACACCCAGTTGGTTTAATTAATAGAAAAACTAGGAATTGTTAAACAGAGTAGCCAAAGAAAGTAGTATCCAAGACCTGACGACAGAGAATATATGTTCTGTTGTTGTAAAGCAGAGAATCCTACTGTATGCAGCAAAGTTTGAGCTGATAGCACAAGAGATTACAGATGCACCTGTTGAATCAATCTGAGCAGAAAAATACATGTATAAGTAAAAATTGTAGGGAAAGACTTAGATATCCAGCTAATGATGTTTTGGAATGTTATTGAGAAAAAGAGAAACAACTTGCACTTGGGTGCAGCCCTAAGTTTCGACAGAAATCTCTGCACTTTGTATTCTCATTGTTAACTCGTGATTTTCCTTTATGTTTTACTTTTCATGTGTCTCATTTTTTGTTTTGTAAAGCGTTTTACTTTGAGGAAGATGTTTATTGGCCAGAAGACATGTTCCTTCGGACTTAAAAGACCATTTTGCCTTTTCATTTTCCTCTTTCATTTCCATTCATTAACCACAAAATAATCTTTTCATGTTCAGGCTGCATGGTTTTAGCATCTGCAAATTCTCTCTTTTTACTGTAGGAGTATTTCCCTACCTTAACTGGACACGTTAACTCAACAATAGTAAAAACAATGGTAAGGATCCCCACCAAGCAGGGACTATTTTTGTAATTGAAAATATTGCACTCATTTGGTTATTAAAATTAATTAATAATAATGCATCAATTAATCTATATTTAATATCTAATTTAAAATTAGTAGCCTATATAAGCATTTTTTTCAATCACCTTAATCAGTTGTTTATAAACAAGTTAAATCTCGTAAGAAAAATGATTTTGGGGTAATCTTTTTATATTATTTTTTGATATAATTTAATGTGTTATTTAAATTATTAATTTTTTTTATTTATATAAAATTTGTGATATTAAATATATCTATTCATTTAATAATATATAAAAATTTTATCAAAATATAATATAAAAAAATTATCCTTATAGCACCACATCAATTAAATCAAATGAATCCTTAAAATCACTTTAGATAAAAATCAAAATAATGTTATTCTCACTTTTAAAAATTAAATTATTTTATTCTTTTTAAAATAATAATTTATTAAAAAACATAATTATTAGTATTTCTTTATTAAATTTTTTAAAAGTCATGATGATAAACATGTTATATCATGCTTATGCCACGATATTAAAAACAAAATTCACTTTCCTCTTCCCTCCCTCCCTTCTCCTATATAAAGAGTAGAACTTGCACCTGTTTTTGCTCATACCAACCTCTGCATTATCTCTCCTCTGTTTAGCTCCTCCCTTCTTTTTAAAGTTTCTGCAATGGCGTCGAGCTCGAACTGGACCCCAAAGCAAAACAAGCTATTTGAGAATGCTCTGGCCATCTATGACAAGGATACGCCGGACCGCTGGCAAAACTTAGCCAGGGCCGTAGGAGGGAAGTCCGTGGAAGAGGTGAAGAAGCATTATGAAATTCTTGTGGAAGACATCAGGCAGATTGAGTCCGGCCAAGTCCCGTTACCCAATTACAAGAAAATGGCACCGGTGGCTGTAACAAAGGATACATGGACGAAACACAAAGGTACGAATACACTTTTCCTTAGCATGTAAACCAGTAAAAATTCAGCTGATGTCTTTGTTTCTGAACGACAACATATGGACAATGTCAAAGCTGATGTCTTAATTTGTTTGGTTTTTCAGGCTAAGGAATCTCAGGCTCCAGTGAAGAAAGCAGATTAATGCATGATTAATGATAATTAAATAAATGTTATTATTATTACTATTAATTTTGTTTCCATTTTCTGTAATTGTTGTATTATTATGAGACAACTTCCTTAAAAGAGTCAAATCCTTGTATTAATGTTGCTCTTATATTAGTTCTAGGGTTTTAAGAGTATAACAAATGTATTTATTAGTTATAAATTTATATTTAAAAATAAATTTAATTTTAAATTATATACCGTCTAAATATATTTATACATGTGATATTAATAATAAAATTAATGTCATTTTTAATTTTTTTTTATATAATTTTATAATTAAAAATACATTTATTTTATTTTTAACTTGTGATAATCCTTTGTATTGTAATGACTCCTCAAGAATGAATGTTTTGCTCTAAATGGGCAGACAATGTAATGTATTTTAGAACTTCAAGTAGTAATTAAAATTAAAAAGAAAAAAATTTTAATGTCTAGAACCATCTTCTTTTATTCTTTGTGAAGCTTTTTTGAGCCGTGCAAAACATGGTGAAAATCTTTTGTACAAAGTGTGTCGATGGCCGGGAAAAAAAAAAGGGTGTGTGTGTGTTCAATGCATGAATATCTCCTGTGTTAGACGACAAATGTGGTTGAATGATTGTGGGTTGACTCTTAATTAATCGACAATCATCCTATACATAATTTTGTGTAAATACTAAGAGAAATTAATTCTTTACAAATTCAAATTTTCAGTATATTAACAGTTTCTCACATATCTCCCCATACAATAGTGCAGGAAAGACCTTTATTTTTTTTTTAACATAAAAAATAGGGATTAATTTTATATTTATGTTCGAAAGTTTAAATAGTTTTATTATTAAATTATATGATTAATAATATTATTATGATATTAAATACATAAAGACATGTTAATTTATATTTAATTGAATAAAAAAATCAATTATAATTATAAACACATGTAATTGTAAGATTTTACTATAAAATAAAATCATATCTGAATTTATAAAAAAATTATATATACTTGAAACCAATGAAAAAGTTTGAGATTTTATAAGTTAAACTATAAATACTAATATTTTTTAGTTTGGTTCAACAAAAACTTATAAATACTAATATATTAAATAAAAGAGCCTTTCTTTTATTATCAAAAGGTCTTTTTTTACTATAATAATTATAATAATTAATATTTTATAATTGAGTGGAATTTTTATTTTCAATGAAATGCTTATTATGATCTAGATTAGATGGGACAGTAGTACGATGCTAGAGTGAAAAGAAGAAAGAAAACGAATAGATTAAAGGGAATGATGATGTATTGCGTGTGAATGCATTTTATTTTATTATGAAGTTAAGATAAGGTGGTGGACTGATGGGAATAATTCTGTGTTTGGAGGTTCAAGGTGAGTACTTTTTGGATGTTTTGTAGCCAATTTCAAAGAGCACCAGACAAAAGAATTGCAAAGGGCAACCGACAAATCAATCCCTAAAGCACTTAGTTTTTGTACCAAAAGTTGGCCAGAAAATGAATATTGAAAATAAATAAATTATTTTGGCAAAAAATAAAAAAAAAAATGTTAAGACATTATGTTGGAATAGGATTATGGCTATTAATTATAATGTTAAGGCTATAAAAAATAATAAAATATTGTTTATAAAAATATTAATATTATTTAATTTGAATAATACAAATAATTAATAATTAATAAAATAGTTCATATGTATTGATTAATAAATTCAAATTAATCACTAAATTAATATTTTTAGACATTATTAAAAAA